TTCACATATTTTTAATACCCGTTTTTAACTCATCATACCCACCAATGACAAATGACATGTAATAACACATTAACTTTTTATTTAAATATGTATTAATAAGAAATCAGCTGATGCACGCCATTTTAGTTTCCCATATGAACTAACTCTAAAAAATTAGAGTTTCAAATAATAATGAATAAATCAACAGTCTTGGTAAAATATAATATATGACATTGCATATCACAGATGGAAGACAAAACCTTGAAGATCACAGGTGGAGTCTATATGCACCCCAAGTAACAAATTATATAGTTACTGAGAGATTCGGATGATTATTATCTAAAGGATTCTAAGTATTAAACATATTTTTTTTATCCGCAAAGGCCCCAGCTGTGTTATGAAGGATTAAAAAGTATGGAAAATATTTACTTGGCAGAACACTCAGATTATTATATTCAAAAATAATATATCCATTTTGTTATACATATATATATATAAAAGGATATAATATTGTATGATGTTACCGTTTGTAACTATCCAAAAAAATTCATAATATTAAAAGGCAAAAAAGATATTCATACCATATTTTTTGGCAATTAAAATTTAGTATTATATACCTTAAATTGAAATATATGGTTATTATCTGATAAATAAAATGTTATACGTTTTCGTTAATTTTCCTTACACCTGATTAAGCAGCTGCTCTCCAGTCATATGTAAATGGACGATACTGTTCTGATTGCGGCTCTTATAATCTTGGCATTAGATACAATTTATGTAACTCTTTACAAGCATTTAGTTTTGCTCAAATACTGTATTTCTAGAACCGTCCGGTCTTTCCAGAACACATGGAAAACATCCTGACGTGATCTCTCAAATTCCTTGAAAGAAGGGGCCAATTCCCTTTAGCTGATCTTATATTTACCCATTGTCTTCCTAACCTTCAACATTCTCGAGAAAAAATATGACTTAAAAATCGTTAAATTTCCCTAAATTTCGGATCACCATATATTCATCCCTGAGAACCTATCATAGTAAGCGCTACTTTCTCAAGCGACGCTAAATTAATCGCTAGCCAAAATCATAGCTGATTCGCCACCTTTATGATAATTTTTGGAAATATACGACACGCTCCCTATTTATAAATTTTTATCTATTATTATTTCGCATCGCTTGAGCATTGCGCTTACTAAAAATTAGGTTTTAGGCTCTCAGATTCACAAACTTAAGGAATTCCATGAAGGCTTCTTGAGGTAGAGGTCAACCATTGCTATTCACGAGGCTAACTATTTTAAGCTAAGTTTCGTGGGTAACCTCGTTCCGAAAGATTATACTCAGAATTTGATAATTTTTTTTTTTAAATCTCAAAATATAATGGATTATATCGACTCTTTATAGTTGATTTATAGTTAGCTTTTAATGATATTTTTATTTTAATAATTGTCTTTATACTTTTTAGATATATAGTTATACCTTTAATTATAAGCAATAAATAAATTTGATTTCATGAATAATTAAAAAAATATATAATGACATTTCTAATTAATCTAACTTATAATTATTAACTTGTGCTTAACAATCTCATCTCAACTTTATCGATTTATCAATTGCTTTGTTTATCTATCTCTTTTTTTTCATTTGCCGGGTCCTTCAGTATCTTTTGCGATTTATTTAATTTATAATAGAATATAATTTATTGTTATACTTTTACTGTTATTCATTAATATTATCCAAAAAAAAAAAAAATTAGACATTAAACAACAACATTCCTTTTCCTTCAGTTTCTTGAAGACTTTTATTTACTTTTTTTTTCGTGATTTGAATTAATTTTAAAGTTTTGGTATTAGAGGTCTGCAACGGGCGTTTTGTTGTTACGAAATTTTTTTAACCCGCCCTTCCGCCCAGTTATAACCCACCCGCTATCCGCCCGATGTCTAAGATATTTTGAAAAACAGGCCCAATGCAGACCCCTAGTTTGTATGTGGGTTTTCCAATTATATCTTTATCGAAAAACAAAATAATTTGTTTTTATAAACGTTTAACATGTTAGTTTGTTGTTTAGTGTTGATAAACGGCACAATTCGGGTGGATTACTAAAATGTCCCCTATTAATATTTTCCTCAAGATTTGGGCAAACAGATGTTCAGAACCTTTCTGCCATCTTGAAAGCAAAAATCTTCAGGCTTACGTGATAATATTTTTGCTAAAATTTCCAATCGGCACGTTTTTTTAAAAAATCGAGTCTTAACAAACACTAAATTGAAGCGCTAACATATGACCCACTTCAACTCTCGATTTTTAATCTTAACTTTTTTCGGGGATATTCATTATGAAAAAACTGGCCTTAGCTAGGATCGAAGCAGGAATGAGGAGACGTGTCTCAATCAAGGTATCTAAACTCCAAGACAACCCGCCACTCTAAGATGATTATTTTTTTTTCTTAGGTATACAAGGATATCACGATATAATAATTTTTTATATAAACACATTTAAAAAATTTAACAACGCCAAAATGTGCTTAAAAATAATTTACGGGACATTTTGTGTTTTTTTTTTGAATGATGACCAAAATCACTATTACACATGAATTATTAATAGAATTATTAAAATATTGCAGGTAAGTGTATCGCATGTTATTTACCATCTGTATAGTGTCGCCTCTTAATTGATAACTAAATTTTCATATACTAAAAAGGGGCAAAATTTTGCTTTTTAATGGGGGTTTTTTAAAAAAAAATAAAATATTGATAAACATGTCTACTAATATCCAATTTTTCCAGTATCAAAATTTTTAATTAAGCATTCATATTTTTATCAAATTATGAAATGATTATTTTTTTTTGTTTTGTTGAATAGGAATGAAATAATCAACAATAGGTAAATATAATAATTGGGAGAATTTGATTTTTCTCTACAGGCTATATGGATGTTTATGTAACTACTAGAAACGTAATAATAAATATATAATCCAGGGTAAGAGAACTGCAAAAATCGATTTTTTTTTTAGCCTGAGACAAGCTAGAAGGGGTCCTATATATATACATCTCGAAATATTTATTTTTATCCTCTATTTTTAATGTTATTTACGTTAAAAATATAAATTGTTAATTTTATGATACTTAATTTCTCTATATAAATTTATTACAAAAATATGATTTATTTCAAACACTCTCATCCTGATATATGTATATACTATATAATTTTTTTTTTAATTTATTTTATAATTCTGATATTTATTCCTACAAAAAAATAAGAGATTAGAAAAAGGATATTTTCTACGGGGCCTAACCCCAGGAAGGCAGTAATATACAAATCCCTAGTGTTTTTGCGCTGATTATATTTATGTAAAATTAGTTTGGAAAGTTAATTGCACTATTGAATTGTGCCACCTCGAGACCCTTTTAGGGATTTTGCTGCCGAATTGTCATCTCATTAGTTAAATTATTCATATGGACTATTTCCTTCTTTTGGGGTCTCTATGCTCCAGCCCCATCAATCAAAATGTTGGAGGGCCATTTCAAAAAAAAATTCGGAAATACAGATCTTGTGAAGCAAAATATTTTTATTTATTCAGCCCCGACTAGCTGAAAAGTGTTGGATACCTGTTTTTATTATAATAATATTTGATATTTAAATAAAAGAAATTATTATAAGCTGGGAATCATGTTAATGTCAATCAATGAAAATAATAATAATAATAATCCTAGACTGGTCATCTATTCATTTAAAATGTGTATCAATATAGATCAGCTGTTGGTACGCCATTTTGGTTTCCCGTATAATCAATTTACAGTAAAACTTTCTGAAACTTTTTTTTAAAAAAAAAATTCAGAGTTTCATTTATAATATTTTAAAAAAAGATTATATACGAATCTATAATGGCGTGTTACCAGCTGATTTGTTTACAAAAATGCTTTGAAAAATGCATTTTAATAAATGTCATCTTTATTAATTACAAATATATTTCATGATAATATACTCTTTTTTAAAAATCAACAAAATAAATGGCGAAATAAACAGCAGATTCATTCCTTTAATATAGTATACTTTAAAACATTAGAATAAATTATTTGATTGGCATACGGCAAATATAAATTCTACGACACGCGTAAATTATTATTGGCATAATATTAAATAAATGTAAATCTGCCACACTAGGTAAATATTATATGTTGGTATGAGTTAGGTTAATGCATAATATATAATTCGCCTTGTTTTGGTTGTCGCTTAATTACTCCTCACGTGATCAGAATTTTTATTTTTGAACATTGCGAAAGGGGATGGAATTGGAACATGATGACTCCTAATAACGATTTCTTAAACGCTTAAATTTTTTTGGCCTTGTGAGCTAACATAGTTTATTGTCTATTGATAACTTAAAATCCAATTGGTAACATTATTTAAAAAAAAAGCTTTAATACCGTGTCAACGCTCGGATTATTTCTAGACAGCTGTCTGTTTAGCCTTCTATATAGCTTCCTCTAAACCACCTAATCCTTAATTCACGATTAGCGCAAATTCAAGAGGTATGAAAAATTTGCCTGTGTGATGAATATAAAAATACAGCATATTTTGTATTATCTCACGAATTCTCGATAACTATGAAAGCAGGGTAAAAAGTTGAATAAGATATACTACTATCTGTATTTAAAATCCATTTTTTTTTATTAAATATAATCTGCATCTAGATATTTTTTTCACGGAGGATCTGATCAACTCTGACAATATTTAGGTAACATCAGATCTTCAAATTTAAAAAAATGGTTTTTTGACCTATACCATATAAATATCAGACAATTTTACAAGATATCGACATAAATTGCTTGTTTTTGCGCGCATTGTTGCTATCATAATATTATAGAAATATATACTATTTCTATTAGTATATCCATAATTTGCGAAGTTTTTGAGATATTCCATGTTCAAGTTTAAATTTTAATGACAACTAACCGTGACAGAAACGATTTAATAAATACTTTATTTTAATTTTCGTTTTTTTAAAAAAAAATATCTATATAAAGATTAATTAAACAAAATCCCGAATTCGAAGAAATAATCAAATCCAACGCCAAAGAAGAAGATAAAGATAACGCTCTTTGTACCACAGCTGACTCGATGATGTCAGGATTTTCGAAATCCATATTACTCCTCGAGGATTACGACAAATTTGTCGATTTTTTATTCGCCCTGGGTAATTCATACCGTCAATTCCATAATTTCAACGACACATATTTCGAGGTATTATATATGTATATTATATTACTTGTATGCTTGTTTCGTTGTTTCACTTTATAGAAAGAAAGAAAGAAAAAAGAAAGAAAGAAAGAAAGAAAGTGTTGTTAAACGTCTCGATCCTATTTTTTTATAATAAATGGCTAACTCAATATTTTATCCAGAAAGTTCTTATGCAAGCCTTAATCTTTTGCCCATAGATAGCGCACAGGGTTTGGACATCTATTAACTAACTTTCTAGTCTTAGGCCATATTTTTCTGGCTAAGATATTAAGTATCGAGCAGCCATTTAACAACACTAGATATAATAGTTCATTTTTTTTTAAAGTCACAAAGGTTTATACCTTTCTATATAATCTATTTGCGCTTTAAAAGAAAAAAACATGGTGTAGTCTGAACTTATTTTTTATGTTTAGCCTAAGGCTATTTAGCCTTTTAGGTATCAATCACTCCTTGTACTTTGTTTTAAGTATGGTATACATTAAATAGATATTATATATTAAGGCACTGTAAATCCAGCTGTTTTAAGAAATGAATTCGAGCATTGACATGGCCAGTCAATACCATGATAGAAAGGGGATAACTACAATAAGTTATATTTACATCTTTTATATATATATATTATATTATATTCAGAAACTCAGAGAACCATTTCTAAGCGCGATCAGAGAAACGCTGCAGGACAGATATACCGACAATATACAAAATATTTATACCAAAGCTTTTAATTTCATCGTTCAAACAATGAAGGAGGGTTATAACTCTTCAACGTAATACATATATATTTTTTCTTAAAAAACCCAGAATAAATCGCTTTGAAACCTTTGTATAAAATTTTTTTTAAAATGATCTCGAAAGTCAAAATGAAACAATGTATTGTGCTGTGACACTATTAATAAATGATAAAATTTGAACGCGATTATCAAATATATATTTTTATTTATTTTTTTTTAAAAAAAATAAATGATATTTATTATTATTACAATAAATAATTTTTAAATAATTGAATATTTATATATATAAAATAAGTCGTTCTCATCTTGGTAGTAGCTGAATTGCCGAACCATGCGAGGGGGGACTCAAAAAAGAAAAGAATATAATAGTATTTAAAAAGAATAGCTATGTGATTTTACATATGAACAAAACGAAAAAAAAAAATCGTGTTGTAAAATTGATTCCTTATCTTGATTTGATATTATATTTGAGGGGGTGTTTACGCAAATAATTTGAAAGTTTCATTCACAAGGAAAGTTGGTTTTTTTTTAAAAAACAAAAAAAAATAAACTTGACTCTAAAAATTTCAAACGCCTTTTCTAATCAGTTGCGTTAGCGAACTCGTTTAAAAAATTTTTCACGTATACTCCTTCAAGTCAATGACCATATTACCCCAGTCCTCCTTACCCCTCTCTTTCTAATTCAAAATTATAACAAAAGAAAAAGGAAATCCGAATCCAGAAATACCATACCTCCCTCCTCCTACGCTTCTTCAAATAATGATGATTTAGCATCTTACTGATCCCCACGCTCCACCCATAGTAGAAATGTCTAACTATAAATTCTTTTTTTCTTTCTTTCTTTTTTCTTTCTTTCTTTCTTTCTTTCTTTCTTTCTTTCTTTCTTTCTTTCTTTCTTTCTTTCTTTCTTTCTTTCTTTCTTTCTTTCTTTCTTTCTTTCTTTCTTTCTTTCTTTCTTTCTTTCTTTCTTTCTTTCTACTAGCTTTATCTTTAGATGAAAAATATTCTTGATCAAATCGAAATATTTTTATGGGGAACATTTTTTATATTCCTAATTGACTCTCATTTTTTTATTTACATTTTCTTTCCAAATAAATATGTTAACTAAAATAGGGGCTCTTTCAATTGAATGATTAAAATCCTCAGAAATACTCCCTTATCGAACATTACTTACTCAGTATCCATCCATTTTGTAGATGAAATATTTTATATTTTTAGTCATCGGGCCATGTCTTTATGAAGTTTAGAACTGAGTTAAATATATATATATATATATGTTTAAAGATTTGTTTTGGATGAGATATAAATAGTAAAAAATATATATAAATATTAAACTTCTTTTTCTTTTTAAGTATAAGTTACCATTTTAGCTGCCATAAAAGGGGGCTTTACTTCTTCTCTCCGTTTAATGGCGATTTCCAGGTTGACCCAGGTTGGCCAGTTTCTCCCTCTGATCAAATCATTAGAAAATTTTGTAGCAAGGTTTTTACAATCGGGTGCCCTTCCTGACATTAACTCCTTTAGGTGGTAATAACATCCCGTCGAGGAGGGACCCAGATCACAGGGAACCTTTTAGATTACCATTAGCCGCCAAAAGACGTTGCGACTCTCCCGCTACGATGAGGCTGAAGGTAGGATTAGGGGGAAAAGGGGGACTATACTAATTTAACTTAAAAGTTTTCAACTCAAAAAAAATTCAACGCGGTGCCAAATTGCCACTTTAAATCTTGAGAACAATAGTGTTGGAAAAGATAACACTAGAAGTATTTCTTAGGACTAGTGCGGATCCAAGTTATAAACTGCCATATCTCAGTTTATTAATTTATCTTTTTCTTTTTTTTGCCATAATTATTTATAGTATATAATTGCATCCATATATTAACAATTGTATAATAAGTTAATATAGAGTTAGTCAAAAAAAAAAATTTACATTTTATTATTACAGGTTTTTGTTTATTTTTTTTAAACTTTAAGCTAGAGTGTTGTTAAACTGCTAACTCAATACTTTATCCAGAAAAATATCATGCAAGCCTAAAGATTCGGCTCATAGATAGCACATAGGATTGAACATCAATTGGCGAAATCTCTATGCTTAGGCAATATTTTCCTGGCTAAAATGTTGAGTTAGCCGTTTAACAAGACTACTCTAGGCTCTTTTCCACCTATTATAATTTAGATAAATCTGCTTTTTATATCTTCTTTTTTTTTCTTTGAAGAACTCATTCAAATTGAATATACATTTTTTATTTACAAAAATTACAAATTATTTTTGTTAACCAAATAGAAGATGATAATTGGGAAATAATTAGTAGTAAGCATTTTTTTGATCTTAAATTTCCCCCTTGTTTTAAGATAACGTTGATAAATTTTATTGTATATTAACAAAACAATCTCATTTTCGATTCACCATCCCGCGATTCAATTTGGATCGATTTCTCAATTACGAAACTTAATATATTCAAAAATCAATTGAATGCTACAATTTTGTGTTTTTGTGTCATTTTTTTTTTAAATATACAAAATTTCACAGGAATTAATATATTTATCTAATTATAAAATGCGAATCATGTCCAACATGAAGAAAGTCTTGGCAATGTTGAAGATTTTTAGTATCACAGTTAAGCGTATAACATTTTTTACTCACCAACCTCTTACATCAAACCCCCAATAATGAATCTTAGATTTATTTAAGTTATAATCATTATCATTTGTTCTCATTTGTGTTAGGTAATGGTTGGTAAGATGATTTGTCATGGAATAAATTAGTTTTGCTAAAGGAACGTGAGCTAAAAAAACCTTTAATCCTTCTAGAAGCAGTGCTGAATGTTGGAGTGTCGGATGTAATAGTGTCGTTAAGTTTGCGTTTGTTACTATCAGCAGGGCCTCTGGAAGATAGCCTGGCAATACGCGATGGAATTGATAGGGAGAATTGCTTTTTAATATTCGCCTTATAAGTAACTGTAACTGGTTCCTTAGAGTCGGTAAATACTTTTGAGTGCGAAGCCTCAACGGTATTCTTAAATGTATTTGCAATGTTGGTCAAGATATCATTTAAAGGGAGGGAAGATTGGTTGTTAGATCTTAATAGTGTTACATCCTCCTTGCTAATATTTAGAATTCTCGAGCTTGTATACCTGTTCTCCTTTGGGTATTCATCGTAATTATTATTAATATTATCAGTTACGGATATGATGAGGTTTCCTTGAGGATCTAAAATTCCTGATTTATAATTGATAACCACTTCCGTTTGCGTCTCTTTATGTTCGGATGATGATATCATTTCGTGTTGTTTATCGTTGTTATTGTGGGAAAGCGTACGTTTAACGTTAGATGGATCGCTATGATTGGTACAGGAAATATTACTATGCAAAGAATAAACTTTATCGATAGCTAATGCGTTCCTATCACCGATATTGGAATTGTGGTTATGCGACTTTATGTTTTTTATAAATAAATGCACCAAATTCGACGATCTGAATATATCTCTGCATCTGGAATTGAGCGATGTAGAATTTTGATTCCTGGAAGAAGGGTACGATTGACAAATATCTTTCTTAGCATCAATGTAGATATCTTTAAGTTCTTCTTCTTCGTCATTGACATCATATCCGTCTAATACTAACTGTATTTCGGTTTGGGAGAATTTTTCGGAATTACTTATGGATTTCGGAGTTTTCGATACTACATCATCCAGCATCTCGTCGGAAGGTAAGGTTTTGAGGAAATCATTCTTCCACATATCCGAATTGGTTTTGAGTGGTTGTTGCTGTTTATCAAACGAATATGTAAACTTCGGATGTTTCTCGTTAATGGATTCAAATATACTGGACGTTATCGCACATTGTTTATGTAACTGAGGCTTTTGACACATTGGAGAGATAAGATTGTATTCACCCAGTTCACCTTTAGTGGCAGTGGATAAATTATTTGTATTATTATAATTCATAAATGGTTCAGTCGTAAATTGAAGCTGGCACACTTTTAACGAATAGTTTTCCGCGCCTTTAGTATCGAGAGAATTTAGGAAATTCATTTTACTGATACCCTTATCGATTTTATCGACGGAATTGTTTAAGAAGTAGACGTTATTCGCGCGTAAAAGGTTGTTCGTTTCGTTATTCCTTAACGAAAAACAGCTGCTGGACAAACTTTTTTTCGCTTCATTGTGACTCCTCAAATATGGAATCGCGGTTTTCGTTTTTTTACACGTGACGCTATCCGAGAAGAAAGATTCTTTTTCTATTTTGCCTATTACGTCATCGCTATTTTCCACGCAAACATCGTGGACAAAAGTCTTCCTTTTGGTATCTATACTTTTATCTTAGATATATTATTATGATAATGAAAATTATTTTTTTTCACAATCAATATTCTCTTATTGTCTAGTAGAATTATCATAAAATAAAGGCCTAGAAGCCCTGTATATTTAGTTTTTCTTGCCCGAACCGGTCCGAAACGGTTCGAAATATTTAAATTTCTAGGTCCGAACCCCGGATATTATATTAATCCCTAGCTTAGCGGATTTCTAGCCGATCGATCATAATTATGAATAATATATTTATTTTTTAAAAAAAACCGGTCCCGGCGAATGAATATGAGCGGTGAGAATTGTTGGTAATCGATTTGCATGTCTTTGAACGGCACTCTATAACCACTACTTCTTTGCAACTTTTATGGGCGTTTATACCGCAATCTTTTAAAAACAAAATTTATAAATATTTCATATATATATGCTCGAGGAAAATAAATTGTAAGGTTTCTTTTTTTTCTCGATAAATTGAACTGTTAATTTTTATTTTTTTTTAAACATGAAACATCTGATACTGTCCAATTTAAACGAATGCATTCAAAATGTATTATTTGCGTTTTAAAACGCTGCTTTGAAACGTTCAATTTGTGCCCACCAGTATTCTAATCGCCAATTTTACTCAAAATTTATTTAATATATATCAGAGTTGTTAAAAGATACTTTAGATGGATCTAGATACAGATATATCGTCTAAAATAATATCTAGATACAGATATTTTAATCAAAAATCTATCTAGATACAGAAAAGATATCACATTTTTATATCTAGATAGTATCTAGATCCTTTAACAAATCTGATATATATATTTTTTTTAAAAACATTATGTTAGCATGAATGTGTTAATTTTTTTTAAAATGAATTTTAATCATTTTTTTTTAAAAGAATGCATTCCAGTATGCTTAGAATATTTAAAACCATGTTATTTCAAACAATTTTGCCGTTAAAAAAAAATTTAATCATTTAAAAATTTTTTATAAAAAGAACTTTGGAAGAAAAAAAAACGAAAAATAAATTATATCAAGTTTAAAGGTTCGTCGTTAAAATTTTCTAAAAATCATAGAGTGGGTCTTCTATACAAGCTGGAATTTCCAGAAAATTAAAAATAAATTGAAAAAAATGATTAAATAACAACATGACTGGTAAAACACATTGACGCCAAGTTTAAACATTTTAATTTTTTTTAAACCTAGATTTTCATAGAGTATATAGTGGTAAAATTAAATAAATTTATTATTTTTAAAGCAACATATTTCAAAAACTCAGTTAAATTAAACAGTTAAGGAAATTAGAAATTGTAGTTTACATCTTGATATAAAATATAATCCTTTTTTATAATTTAGATACTAGATATTATTTTAAAAAAACCCGATAGGTAATACCATTTATTCTATAGTTTTATCTAGTATTGTTAATACCCGGGTCGAGACCTCGGGTCGTGTCTGTGCTGGGGGTTCGTGGTCAAGAGCAAGTTTAGTCGATTTTTAGACCCAAACTCGCCCAACCAACCAATTAACAACACTAGTCTTATCAAACGATACGGCAAAAGAGTGAGGTTTTATTTTAAAAAGATACGAATTGAGAGTTACACAGTCTATGATGATATTAAGATTCTATGATTCCGAAGCCATTGTCTGTGTTCAAACAAATTCTAAATGAAAAAAAAAAGGGATTTAAGATTTATGAATTCCGTATTACGATACAAAATAAGACATGCGGCTATGTCTTGGTTTGACTTAATTTTGGATATACTAAATTGCATTTTGGTATAGGCTATAAAGCTTATCAGCTGGACACCTTAGTTTGGTTTGTTATTTTTACTTTTTTTTGGCTATTTAGTCGATACTAAATAAGCGGGTAATAAGTCGATCTAGTACACGGTAGGTATATACTTTTAAATATACCAATATTAAATAGGCATGTTTTTTGGGGGTTAAGAAAGATGATATAATAAAAATAATAGAGAATTATTTTGCTTTTTTTAATATTTATTTTAAAATTTGATCCAAAGGATTAGATTAGATTAGTCGGCAAACTTTCTCAGTAGTATGCAGCCCTTTTCCCGCTAAAATTAAATCATCTACAAGAAGTTAAGACCTTAGTATGACAATCCCAAAAAAGTTTTACACTCTTGACTCTTAATGAATACAAAATTCAATGTGATTAATATGGGAACTTGAACTGATACAATATTAAATGAAACCACCATGGTAATGTTTTAGAAAAAAACGGTTAACCCTATATTTTGGCCCAAAAATATATTGCAAGTCTGGAATATTTTGCTTGTATATAGTAGAATGGTTTTGGAAATCTGTTAACGAACCTTTCGAAGCTTGTGCAATTTTTTTTTGGGCTAAAAATCAAGCTGTTTGACATTGCTTATATTGTCAATAGTAATTTTCAGAGTTATTAAAGGATCTAGAAACAAGTATCTAGATCCTGTATCTAGAATCCTGTATCTAGATATAAAAATGTGGTATCTGTATCTAGATAGATTTTTGGTTAAAATATCTGTATCTAGATATTATTTTAGACGATGTATCTGTATCTAGATCCATTTAAAAAGTATCTTTTAACAACTCTGGTAATTTTACATATCTATAACTATACTTAAATCGGTATACTCTACACCTTATGGGTTAGTACACTCTCGTTATTAAGCTAATTTTTTTTTGTACGGTTAATAAAATAATATATGAATCATATCAAGTAGGGGGAGACCGAAGAGCAATGGCCACCGGGGGTAACAAAAGTAACCACCACAATAATTTTTTTTCACCATTTGATATAAATAACTAAACTACCACGTGATTCGCTAGAATTGGGAGCTGCGTAATCAGTAGATATTTACTTCCGATTATTAAAAAAAGTGGATATTTTACCCCAGATTTATTTGCCACTTTACCCCGGGTATGGGGTCCACTGGTTAATATCCCCTCCACCCCTCCCCCTACCAATCCCTTCTCGCGTATTTTATGAGAGATCAAGAGTTCGAGTTGATGAGGCGGAAATAAATTTATAGTTTATTTTTTTTTAAATTCAATTCTTATAAGAATCATTTTTATTATTAAAAATCGAGAGGAAAAAAACAATATTGACCAAATGAACCCGGTCCCCCTATACAGACAAATATTTGAAAATAACCTTTGCACCGATAGCCTTGTTTTATAAGTCCCCATAGCTTTATATATGTATTTTTTTTTAGAAAATAAAGATATACATTTCAAAAAAAAAAAATTTATGTTATAGTTTTTTTACCAATCCAGTGCAGTGGACGCAAAATGTTAACTTGAAGTAGGTGGTCTCGCGAAATTCGTGTTTGAAGCCACTTTTAAATGCGTGGCAGTTGGCGCGGTAAAAATACTTTTTCAGTTCTTCCTTGCTAATAACTCCGTCTCTTAATATATAACACAAATAATATATCCATATAAAAAATTCTTGTTTTTCCCAGATTTCCTCATTTACAATAACCATACCATTTATACCAGGTGTTGATTAGTCCGGGGTAAAAAAAACTTTCATCCTAAACTCATCTATAATTAATATTTTAAGCTTTAATTCAAATTTCAATGTTATAGATTATGGATTGGGTTCCTCATCGATATTATATTTGATTGACACTTTTATAAAAACGGTAACATGGCCAGTCATGCCACCTTTATTCTACATAACGCTTAACACGAAATGTTATTTTATTATTATAAATTTTAAAAAATCTTTAAAAAAAAATGCGTTTTTTTTAAATTTTAAAACTTATCAATGTCTAATACAGCGAAAGAGTCGATAAACGGAAAATTTTCGGTAACGGATATGAATTCGGCTTGGGATATGTAACCATCTTTATCGAAATCGTAGTTTTTGAACACTGCCTCAACCATCGCGTTGATATGCAGGTTTAATGTATCCCAATCGGGAGCAGGCTTGATGTCAGATGCCCATTCCGCGAAAACTTGATGCTGCTCTATCATTTTGCCATTCGAATCTTCGTCGTTTGATTCGTTCATCTTGAAAAAATTTTGTTATATAAACAATATATTTATTTTTGATGGAACTGTCTAACAAACAATTCAGAACATCTTGAATAGGTTGGAGCTTTCTAACAAAGAAGATAGAAGTAAAAAAATGGGCTTGGAATTAGGCCAGTTCTCAAATTAATCTTTAGGATATTTGAAAACAGCTGTAAATTTATTGTATTTTTTTTTAGCCTTACATATATTTCATGTTTGTGATGACAGGAATGAAATCTGGTTAATTTCGCTTAGTTTGAGCCAATGACATATAATAATACCTAAAGCCTCGTTGAATGCAAATCAGCTGACCCACCATTTTGGTAGCCCATATAGTAATTATTCTCATGTTAAAAACTACTATTAAATTGATAAATTGCTTCCTTATTATCTCGATGATCAGGCAATTCTTTAATAAAGTTTTGCGTCAGATATAGGAATAAATTGGCCTCTCGTTTAAAAAATTTTAATAATGATATGGGTAATCAAAATGGCGTCCCCAGCTGTTTTCATCTGATGTACACTTTTAATGAATGCATCGTCAGTCTAGGTATTATTATATGTCATTGGTTTGAGCCAAGCCCTTATTGACCTAAAAAAATAAATATATTAAAAAAAATTTTACATTGCGCGGTTCTCTCGCCAAGGAAAGTTCGTATATATCTTCTTCGCTAAAATGCATATCTAGCGTTAGTCGAAGAGTGTTAATTAAATCGATATCGGTTAGAAGCGGAAAATCATTCTTTTTAAGTCCAGTCAATTCATTCATAATCGGATACATTTGGAACATTTTACGAACGTTAATCATGCCACCCTCGGGATACGTATAATCTAGGTGGGCCGCGTTGATCGATATCAAATCTTTGAGATGAATTCCCAATATGGGTATTCTGAAAGGTGCCCCTGTCAGGTGCCTATCATTTAATGGCAAGGATGGTTGACAACTATCCTTGAAATGACTATTTCTATCAATCGTTTCGGGGAATGAGCAAAAGTTTTTATTTCCCGTCAATCTTATGAGGGGCAATTTTTGTTTATTTTCGCTTATGACATCTTCCTTAAATGACTCTTCTCTTAAACTATTTTTGCAATTATTAGACGAAAGCGAAATTTTTGGAGCTGAAAGGGCTTTGTGTTTGCTAACATCCTCGCTTGATATCTCTATTCTAGGGTCCGCAACGCATTTTGAAATTAGCGGCGGGAGAATCTTATCCGCGACGATGATTTCTTCACTCGTTAGCGTATCGTTTAAATCAAAACCATATGATGGCTGTAAAAAATTGGAATAAGTTAAAACTTTGTCACCTGTCACGTATTCGCTTGTCGACAACTTTAAAGCGGAATTAGTTATGCCGCCTGACCTAGAGGGTTCCTTGTCAAATCTTAGCAAATCGTTTTTTTCCGGAAGTAAAATTTTGTTAATTTCGCGCCTATAATTTTGGAAATTGCCTTGGGATGAGAGCATATCGGAAAAGTCTCTCAGCGCATCTTTCGTTTCATCGGACAAATACGAGGTCGTTTTGCTCAACCTTGCAATTGAACTATGCAACAATCCGCCCACAATTGCCATCAGCGTATTATAATTGTTTATTTCTAGTAGCTCCTGGAAATGTTATAAAATATGTATATAATTATAGGGGTAAAGTGGAAACGCAATACAAAATATTTAAAATATAATAATCCTAGCGGAGAGGGCTTCAAACTACATTCTCAATATTTTTAGAGCATAATAAAAATAATGTTAATGTAATCAGTATTTATAATAATATTATCTATACAGGATAGTAACTTAAACCCTTCATTTCTGGTGTGTATGCATAATTTATGTAACATTTGTCAAAGAAAGAAAAGAAAGAAAGAAAGAAAGAAAGAAAGAAAGAAAGAAAGAAAGAAAGAAAGAAAGAAAGAAAGAAAGAAAGAAAGAAAGAAAGAAAGAAAGAAAGAAAGAAAGATAGGTAAGAGGGTTGCAAATCATCCAATCCTTTGCCGATGCCCCCTATATATATATATCTGCATTTATTTATTTAACCTTAGTCACGTGGACAAATTTCGTGATAATTTTAGCCCTATCCTCGGGGCTAGTTTTGTTTAAAATCATGCATTGAATCCAATGAGACAGGGAGTTGAATAAGGCGATAGAATTTCTCAAATTCGGGCATTTTTCCACGTCCGAGTTTGTTGCATAATTTTTGAATTCCTCGAACTATATTATATATATATATATATAAAAGATCGGACATATAAAAATATGTGTTAATTAAATAATATGCGCAACGTCTTACAATTGTTATTAGCAGAGTTGTTAAAGGATCTAGAGTATCTAGATCCTGTATCTAGATATAAAAATGTGGTATATGTATCTGTATCTAGATAGATTTTTGATTAAAATATCGGTATCTAGATATTATTTTAGACGATGTATCTGTATCTAGATCCATTTAAAAAGTATCTTTTAACAACTCTGGTTATTAGTGTTGTTAAACGACTCGTTTTGAGCCGATTTTTAAAAATGGCTAACTCAATCCTTTTAGCCAGAAAAATAGATTTCGATATATATATATCTCTAGACCTTTGTTCCTTCTATTTAGCAAAATCTTCAGGCTTGAATAATTATTTTTCTGGATGAAGTATTGAGTGAGACGAGCCGTTTAATAACACTACTATCAACAAACGATGATTCAACTGACTAACAAACTCATGCATTACTAGCAAATGAATACTAGAATAAATGGATAGGATGATCAACTGAGAAATAGTGTGAAACGACCTTTTGAGCCGATTTTAAAATGTCTAACTCAATCCTTTTAGCCAGAAAAATAGATTTCGATATATATATATGTCTAGACCTTTGTTCCTTCTATTTAGCAAAATCTTCAGGCTTGAATAATTATTTTTCTGGATGAAGTATATTGAGTCAGCCGTTTTTAAAAATTCTACTCAAAACGAGCCGTTTAACAACACTAATTGTTATAATTGTCAGGTCTAAAATTTATATGGTAAGATATTTTATACATGCTGGAATGTATTTCCGGAAAAATCAGAATTTTTTTTTTCCTTCGAATTTACAAACAATTAAAAAACTCGCTAAAATAATTTTTTAAAGTTGGAAAAAAATAATCAAAATTTTGAAAAATTCTGAGACAATTTCACCACCTACATCAATATCTTCAGAGCTTAAAACATGATTTCTCTCAATTGAAACTTCTCACAAAACATTTTCAATGAAATAAAAATAAACACTCACTGGTACAATAAATAATTGATTATTCTGCTCTCATCTACAACAAAACCCATATAATCTAACAATCCAGTAAATAACCCTATACCAATGTTTTAGTTGTTGATGACTTTATCCAATCCTTCATTTAAAATTTATTAGTGTAAAAACAAATGTTATATATTTACATAAGTTCAGTCACCAAAGTAACAACTCATTCCATTGCAATACAACTCTTATAATAGAAACTCAAAAATACAAACAAATGGTTCATGTGGTCCTTGTTGTCCTAATATTTGTCAAGCAAAATTTTGATAACTATTCCTACATATATTCCAAAATTAATGGATAATACATGCCTAAATAGCTATGTGAAGCAAGAATACAACAATTATAAGTTTGGCAACTATAATCCAAATGCATAATTTATGCCCCTCTTGCCATAAATATACTAAAATTACCAAAGCTAGAAAATTTCAAGTTCATGGCCCCCCACACTCTAGATGCCTAGGTTCAGGGTTACCATCCATAACACCTACAGATCCTCCTCCATTCAGCCTATTAAATTTAGCAAGCCATCCCCCGCCTAGTATTGCTACCAACTTGCCCCCTAGTCAGCAAACTCCCAACTTACAATCATGGGCCAATGATTTTTTTATCAGTACCCAATGTTTCCACCATATCCCGTATTCCACGTGGTGCTCGCAATTCTTTTGCAGAATCCTTTAACAAGTTAATCCTATTAACAGTAAACAATCCTGCAATCCTATCAAATTGGAAAAACTTACTAAGTTTTACTAATTCCACCCTTAAAATTCCCGATAATAAAAATATCCAATTAACTAAACACATTAAAACTTCAATATCTCTTTTCAACCCTGACTCTATTCCAACCCCTACACCTCAGACCCACCAATCCAATCCACTCCCTATTGCCCATAAGGCTAAAATAGTTTCAAACAAAATAAACAGCCTTAATATCAATTCAGCCCTTCGGGTCATGACCTCTGAAGATTTCTTAGCTCCAAACAATGAGTCCACTCTAGAAGCCTTGCTTCTAAAACACCCTTCATGTGATTCAGAATTTGCCTTCTCAAGCCAAAACGATCATATAGCCCCTGAAATCAACTCTGATGAGACGATCAAAGCTGTCAGATCTTTCAAAAGAGAATCTTCTGGAGGCCTTGATGGCATTCGTGCTATTTTCATCCAAGACATTTTAAAACCTAACATATCATGCAAAACCCTCTTGCAGAACCTTACCAGGTTATTAAATTTAATTCTTAATGGGCCCCTCCCACCACCTATCATTCCTATTCTCTTTGGTGCCCGCCTTATAGCCCTCAAAAAAAAGGATGGAGGTATCCGCCCAATTGCTGTTGGGTCGTTCTTCAGAAGGACTATCTCTAAGATCATTGCCTCACGAATAAAGGAATCTCTTTCTTCATTCCTGTCGCTACTTCAGCTAGGGTTTGGTGTACTTGAAGGATCTGAAATTTTGGCCCATCTTGCTCGCATTACCCTCTCAAATAATATTCCTGATAATGTCGTTTTAAAACTTGATTTCAAAAATGCTTTCAATACAATCAAACGTCAATATTTCGTTCCCTTGTTTTGCCACAAATATCCTCAATATTCTACATACATTCTCAACAGTTACTCTAGCCCTACTTTTTTAAAGTACAATAACAACATAATAAAATCTCAGGAGGGAATCCAACAAGGAGACCCCTTAGGCCCAGCCCTTTTTTGCATCGGGATACACAAGATAATCCTAGATATTCAATCTATATCTAACCTCACTCTAAATTCCTGGTACCTCGATGACGGTATAGTCTCAGGCAACCTTTCCACAGTCATGTCCATTCCCTCATCGAAAATCTCTCTTATATAACAGGACTATCTCTCAACTTCCCCAAATGTGAGATTTGCTTCTTAAACCCTACAACATCCATCCCTTCAGAAACCACATTCCTCGCCATCAACAGAGAAGAGATGACACATCTTGGATCACCGATAGGGGGTGAAAAAAGCAATCGAAACTTTTTTAAACAAATCCCTCGACAATTTATCTAATTTAAACTCACTTTTTAATTACCTACCCGCTCATCAATCCTTTTTTTTAATCAAAAACTATTTTAATATACCCAAAATCCTCTATGCCCTGAGATCCTCACCGATCTTCAAATGCAGCCATTTGCTAGTTTCCCACGAAACCCAAATTAAGGATCTCCTAGAAAACATATTAAACCTTAAATTCTCTCAATTCATCTTGGCTCCAGGTCACTCTTCCATGCAAGTCTGGTGGTATTGGTATCCGATCCCCCTTACAACTTTCCCTCTCAGCCTTTATCTCATCTCGTCTTGCTGCTCAATCTATTATCGACAATGGATCTACTCCTTCAGATACTGACCTCTCACAGCCCCTCACCTTTTGGGACAACAACTGCTCTCCCACCCTTAGCCGTCCCGCTTCCAGTACCCAAAAAGACTGGGATGCTCCTCTGATCGCCCGTTCCGTTGAATATCTTATTTCGAACAGGCCCTTTGAAGAAAATCCCAATAATTTGGTACTAAATGCAAACTCTGGCTACGAATGGTTGGAAGCCATCCCCAGCGCCAATCTTGGTCTCCTCATGACTGGCGAACAGCTACGTATATCTATAGCCCTCCGCCTCGGCTGTAATGTCGTAGTTCCCTCCATCTGCATCGATTGTGGTCAGCCCATTGAATCGAAGGCTTACCATCCCTTGCACTGCAAGTTCTCCCGTGGACGACAACCTCGTCATAAATCTGTCAATAACATTTTACTAGCCGCCCTCAAAAAAGTTAATATCCCATCTACCCTCGAACCAGTGGGTCTTTCAAACGAATACGCCATACGCCCGGATGGTATTTCTCTCATACCCTGGTCTAATGGTCTTCCGCTAACATGGGATTACACTTGCGTTGATTTTGCTGCCAAGTCTAACCTCTCATTTTCTGCTATCGAAAAGGCAGAAATCCTTAAAAAAAATAAATACGCTTGCCTCGCCAACACTATGTTCATTCCTATCGTTACCAATACCCTAGGCATGTTTGGAAACGAGGCCCTCAATTTCATTAAAAGACAGATCTCAGGGGACCCCATTGTAGGATTTTACCTTCGCCAGCAGATTTCCCTGGAAATTTGCCGGTCTAATTTTTTAAGTATTCACTCTTCTCTTGGATGATATATACCCCCCCCCCCTCCTTTTTTTAAAAATCTATATATTTTTTTTAATAGTCTTTTTTAATGTCTTCATAGATTATATATATATTATATATTTCTTTTTTTTATATTTAATTTTTAATATATCCATTTTAATATATATTTTTTAATCCTCTGTAATTTTAATCAAAAAATAATAAAATTAAATAATATATTTTGAAAAAAAAAAAAAAATTTAAAGGTTTATAAAACTTATAAATTATTTTTTTTAATTTATATTTACTAGAATTATACTAAAATATTACAAGGATTCAGTGTTGTTATACGGCTCGTTTTGATGCCTAAATCAATATTTCATCCAGCTAAAATATTACACAATCCTAAAGATTTTGCTCATAGAAGGAACAAAGGTTTAGACATATATTATCGAAATCTTGAGGATTAGACAACATCTCTCCTGGCTATTATGTTGAGTTAGCCGTTTTTGAAAATCGACTCACACTACAAGGATTGCCTGATTATACTAATATTTCTTTGTGATATGCAAAAAAAGAAGGAAGAAAAATGTTTTTTTACAGTTATCTTCCGACATTCTTTGTAGTCTAGATAAGTAAAATGGTTCGCGAATTCCTTCGGTTCTATATCGTTGAATGCTAGGGAGACCTTTTGATACGTGTCAGCGGCGCTGAATAAGGGCTTAAAAGATTTATTTCTCATCCAATAGTTCGATGATCTAATAATAATAATATTTTTTTCTTCATATAACTTTGAGATACAAAAAATATCTTATTGATAAAATTATAGTATGATCCTCGTGGAAAATAAAATCTCTTAAAATTTATTTCGCATATTTTCAATATCACGTACAAATTACCTTAAATATAAATCTACCAATATTATGTTTTGTTAAAAAATAATATTTAAGCATGTTTTATTTACCCCGTTTTATTTTAACAATAAAAAAAACATTGTTTTTTTTAAATGTGTTTTTAATTTCTTTCTTTTACACATCCCAAAATATATTATTTATAAATTTTTATCGTACATTAAGTATAAATCTATCAGCCCGAGACTTTCTTCGTTCCATTCCTGCGACAACTTTTCTCTGAATTGAGCCATTTTATATTTCAAATTTGCGTTCGATTCGAAATCCTGTGATTGATTAATTATCCAAAATCTATTTTATTTTTTTTTAAACATTTTTGAAAAAAATATATTATATTATATTAAATATCGAAATATTAGGAAAAAAATTTTTTTTCCAGAAGTTTAGATTCGATCCTTTCCGTGTCAAAAGTTCATAAATCCGGCCGACCGGCAGAGTTTGACCGACCCAAGATCGGTTAAATTTGGACATGGATTGGTTCGTGTATGTCTATAAAAAATATTAAAACAATTCCTAAATCAATAACTCTTATAATGTATATACAATTTTTTATATTTATTTATAAACTTAAAGATCACTACTATACCTTAACGCGTAGCATAGCCTGAAATTGAATAAACTTAGGTGGCACCCCTTGTTGTCACGGGCGTGGGAACATGTGACTTGACATTTGCAGAAATGCTTCTGATCTTCATACGTTTATATTTTACCAAAAAATGAGGCAACATCATATGTTAAAGAAAATTAAACAGAGAATAATTTTCTCCCTTCGAAAATAATATTCAAATTTTTTTATTTATTAATAAAAATTATCTTTTAAAACGCTCTTAAACCCTTCATGTACATGCATTCATTTGACCATATTTTTGGAATATCGTCTGTTATAGTATAAACTTTATAAAAATGAATTTTTTTCCCATGGATGATATTAATATTCCAATCATAATTATATGAACAAAAGTATCAAATCATCTGTGATAATTTCTCTCCCATAATCATCCACTAACAAAAACTAACTTTCAAAGATCACTTTTGATTGAGATTTCATATATATCATTATATATATATATTATAAAACTACAACATCGTAGAGATGTTTATATTTTATATATGAGATTTATAAATAATAATAATGTCGCTAAAAAAAGTTCATAAAACTGATCATCGATAATGATATCTAATTCTAATAAGTGCTAAATAAAAGTTAAAGTGTTTAGGGTTTGTTCTGGTTCTCTTTCTTATTCTTGAAATTTATTTCTGTAAAGACTCAGTCTATTCAGAATTTTGCCCTATTCTGTTTTGTTTCAAATGTTTACTAAAATCTAAATGACCTCCATCTTTTTTTATAGGAGGATATCTAGATAGTTAAACAGATTCCTGTTTGGGAATAAAACGAGTTCAGGACACAGAATTAGTGCGCATTTCTATTAGACGCTTAGTTGTTACTGACATGGTAACAAAAAGAGCAAAAATGAAACTTTTATCAATATGGGAAGATTTGAATACATTATTTGGAATTTAGAGCAAAACGATAACGTTTCAATTTTTTTAAGTATGACTATAATTCTTTATGTATCTATTCTTTGAAATTCGGATTAAAGCTTTAGAAATACAATTGTTGGCTCGTCTATGTAAGTGGAGTCTGTAATAATGGAGGATTCGCTTTCATAAATCGCGTAAAATTTATATATGTTGTAATTGTGGTAATATTCAAATTTACTAGATTAAGAAAAACGAAAGATAGACAAATTACTTTTAAACAAAATTACGAAGCTGAAATATTTTCAAATCTACTCAATCTCGAAGCAAATTGAGACTATGTAAATGTTATTTAAAGAAAAAGGATATATAATGGAGAAATTGATGCGAAAAGGAATTAGTATTTTAATTTTCTTTTATTTTGATTATGTTTTTTAACTTTTGTATTTGAATATAGTTATTTATTGAATAAAGATTTCAGTAGCAGATTTTAGTTATTTAATTAGATTTTTATTTTTTTTAGGTTCCAACTTTTCTCAATATGACAACTTTCAATTGTGACAATATATATCATAAAATTTACAACAATATTTCCTTTTTATCAAGGCATGGGTTTTCACTATCAATAACATTCAAAATGGGGGAAGAGTTAAATTATATCTACTTCCATTTTTTTTTGTCACACAAGAGATGTTGATTTTTGTTAAAACAGGAATTTAATAATTTCCATAACGTTATATTTTATAAAAACGAAAGTTTTTTGAATGATTTTAAAAATATACACAAAAAAAAAAACACTTAAAATAATTGTACCTAGAAACCTACACTGTGTACAATCTCTTTTATTTATTAACGAGAACTTAAACATGCTGCCTATTAAATATAAGTATAAAGTAACAAATATTAATATTAATGTAATAGGGCACGTGTGCAAGTTAAGTGGATAAGCATATGTTTTATGCTACCTCTTCTTTGCATAAATCACTTTTGGGAACTCTGTCTAAATGTTATTCAAAATTATTGTATTAAAATAAAGGGGGGGGGGCAAAAAAGGATATAGGTTGGCGAAAATGTCCATTAGATCCTCCGATGTTATGTACCATTTGTACATTAGGAATAATGTTTTAGGAAGACCCCAGTTGATACCTTGGATATTTCCGTTGACATCTATAAATAAATTTTAAAAAATTATATTATCTCGCAAATTTTAATAATATTCAAAACGTTTTTAAAAAATATATATTAAAAAAAATTCTGGGGAGCCTCGCGAAGGTTTTTACCTAAAAGAGGATCGCAATAGCCATTCTTAAGGCTAATTATGTTTGTTTTATTGATTCGATCTCTCCCGATGATTAGATGAAGGAGGTTTTGAATAATTTCTGCTTTCGCTTATTCTTCAATTAGTGTCCTTTTGTTATTATGATTATTATTATTTTTTCGTAATTGTTTACTAATTATATATTTTTCAATGATGATTTATAATGAAGGTGGTTTCAATATTAAATTTATATTATGGGAAGAAAAATATAAATGTATTAAATATTATTTTAAAAAAAACTAAAATAGTGGGGGGGGGGGGGGGTTATAAAGGTATACTGTCTGGCTTAGAGCCCGAGTATGACGATAAAATTAAATTTACTATTTTTAAGATTTTTAAAATGAAATCTTTGAGCATAGTAAAAAAAATAAAAAATGTATATTATAGTTATCGTGGAGAGAAAAGGGAAAGAACTCTATCATACCTAACGAAGGGAAGAGATGGGATGGGAAGAAATTAGCCGAACAAAAATATTACCTACGCTTCTAATTTATGTTTAAAATAGGTTCAAATTTTTCTGCCATATTTCGAAAAGATCTCAGAGGGTGTGATTTAAAAAATTTTTTTGGAGGCTAGAAATCATGATTTCCATTTTACCAAATCGAAGTTTCTAGCAAATGTGAGGTGTGCAATTACTATCATTTCTGTTTTTCAAGAAAAAATTAGGGGTTCGAACCCAACCCAAACCCCGGTTCAAAAATACTGAACCGATCCCTAACCGAACTTACCAATTTTTTTTAACCTTAAACCGAACCTGAACTGAAGCCGGACAAGGAGAAAACACATTTTTACATAATTATAACTATATAAATTAGGATGACCAATTAATTTTATGATCAAACATTTCATTTTTAAAAAAAATTTTTCTCCGAAATTTTTACATAATATTTATTTTTCGATCGGTTTAGTTTTTTGGCATAACGTTATAGAAAAAATTATATATTTTATCAACTTTTAGAAATGGACCATTTGAATTTAATCTTACACAAATAATTATGGCACTGGCCACTTCTCGCAAACAATTATACATTTTCCATTCTCGAGCTGGCACCTAACTTCAAAAGCAATATATCAGTTTGTAAAATTTTTTGAAATTAAAAGTTGGTACAAATTTTTTATAAGTAAATTTTTTTGTAATTTTCATGCAAAAAAATCGATTTTTGTTCGAAATATTACTTCGAAAAATTTAAAGTATATTTCCTTAAGTTTTTAGATAATGTATTAAATATTCGTAATTATTACGATGTAAGGCAAGGCAATTTTTTTAAAAAATGTTATTTTTATTTTAAAAAAAAGTGAAAAATCTATAAGATTTCTTAAAAATTTATTAGGAATTTTTTAAAAACATAAATAATCAGTAAAAATTATTAAAATATAAATTTATTCCCAAAAATGGTGTTATAAAAAATATTTAAATGTATATAACTGGCATAACCCCTACAAGTGTTGTTAACTCAATATTTTATCCAGAAAATTAATATGCAAGCCTAAAGATTTTGCTCACAGATGGCAAACAGGATTGAACATCTATTGGCTAAATCTCAACTCTTAGGCAATATTTTGGGTAAGTTATTATAATAACTAACAAGAAGTTAAAAGAATGTAAACAATATGTGACTTTATTTTTACGTAATACTCAAAAATAAATGACGGTTCATTAATATATGTATAACAAAAAGAAAGAAAGAAAGAAAGAAAGAAAGAAAGAAAGAAAGAAAGAAAGAAAGAAAGAAAGCACTACAAAAATACATATGGTAAAATTTATTGTATTTTTTTTGCATATACGATTTTTATATACTTTAATTTTTATTTAAAATACAGTTTAATATTTTTTTCAAATGTTTAATATACGACAAATTTTATATAGTAACACAAATAATACAAATTCATTTACATCGAATCCTGATCCTGTGTATTCTAATTCAATACCTAATATATCTGCTACAAATAATTTCCATATTTTCAATTCTCCCTCTTTAAGTGGTGATTCTGTTATTGATCTAGCAAATTTAATCTCGGCAATTCCAAGAAGGAAATATAAAAACTGGAATAATGAAAAAATAGATATAGCAAAAAAAATTATTATCTGTACCTGAGAAGGAGCAAATTAAAATGAAAGATATCGCTAAGTATTTAGATATGTCTTTATCGACTATTAATAAATTAAGACGCGACATTTCCCGAAATCATCGGATACCCTTTGAAAGATTATGTGATTGGAAAGCGAGGCAGGAAAAAAAAAGACACATTCAATATAGAAAGAAAAATTATGGAACTTTTAATGGCGATCAATACATTAACTATTAAAGGTATTGTAGAAAATTTACCTCCAGGATTTCTTAGAAATGAAGGAACTATAAGGAAATGTATTAAAAAAAATAGGATGGTCCAAAAAACGTGCAGGAAAGGAACCTGATGATAGGAGGAACACATCGGGCACAGTCAATATACGACAAATTTATTGTATAAAAATATTGAATATTTCCAGAGAAAAAATATTTTTCTTAGACGAGACAGGCATACATTCACATATTGTACCTGTTTACGCCTGGGCAACATACAATGTTACGCCAACTGCTAAAGTCCCACCATCTAAGGGTAAAAATTTAAGTATATTATGTACTATGGGAATCGAAGGTGTGATACTTTATCGCATCATCGAGGGAGCTTATAATAGCCTACTATTTCTAGAATATATGATAGAACTAATTAATATCATATCAAGTGATGCAGTTATTGTTATGGACAATGCATCGATCCATAAAAGCCACCTCATTTATAGTTTTAAAGAGCGAATACAATATTTGCCACCCTATTCGCCGCAACTAAATCCAAAAGAAAATTTCTTTGGGGTATTAAAAATAGGGCAATCAATCCCCGACCAAATACAAGAAACGAAATCGTTCATAATGTAGCATCAATTCTGAATGAGTTTACTATTCCTTCCTTATGACTTTCCAAGTTATTATAATAAGATGCATCAATATTTAGAGAGTGGCTATCGAGGACAACCATTGGATTAAGGTAAATTTATAAAAATATAATTCATATTTAAATATATTTTAAAGGAATATAGAAAATCGGAATATATAAAGAAAAAACGTTTTTATATTTTAATGCATTTTTTAAATCCGTTTTGTCATATATTTGATCGTCATTTATTTTTTGAGTATTATGTAAAAATAAAAAAAAACATATGGTTAAATCTTTTTAATTTTTTGCTTTTATTATATTAATTTACAACAAGAACAACACTAACCCCTACACTGAAAATAGTTTTAAGCTAAAAACTCCTTTTATAAGGTAAAAAATAAAACTTTTATCCAAAATGAAAGCACTATATAAATAAATTCGAAAAAAAAAATTTCTACAAAAAAATATAAAAGAAGTATATATTTATAAAATATGTATTGATTATTTTTAAAATAAAATGTCCTTATATTTTAAAATTTTTAATAAAAATATAGATTACTGCATAAAAAATATTATTATAAGTGCATTGCATTTCCCATCTAAACAGGATGATTGTTGGCGAAAAAATTTATACAATCTTCATTGCGATTTGATATCATTAGTTATTTGATTTGGTGTGAAATGACATACATATATATATATTTCGAAAAGAGCCAACTTCTTCAATCTATTTTCTGAGGTAGTACTTTCTAGATAAGTTTTAATTCTTCTAAAGAAAGAAAAAAAAATTCTTTCATTTCGTGCAATTGTAATAATGAGTATATATATAATTGTCAAAATACATAATAGTTTGTATATTATATTACTTAGATTTATAAAAGGACTTCTTTGATGAATCCAAGACTCTTTCAGTTTAATTGAAATAAGAAAATTATCAGAAAAGATGGAAAATTGATTTCTTCCTGTAATATTCCTTCTGCTGATCCTACATTAATATTTGATCAATGGGATTGGATTATTTTGGCGCCAGTTGAGGTATGCCATTATAAAATTCATAAAGCTATATCTTGAACTCAATAATTATATAATTTACAAAATTTTTTCATCCACAATTTGCTTTGATTTTCAAGATCTAATACGATAATATTATTTGGTGCAAACTAAACTATACATTTTTTGTTTAAAAAAAAATTGCATAAAATACCAGTCATCAATAAATAATTTGTTTATACAGTGTAATGCAACAAAAAAAAATGAATTTTATCAAGTCCAGAGGAACTGTCTTTCTGTAAGAACATTCTGCCATTTCACTAAGAGTCCTTAAGTCCAGAGGAAATGTCTTTCTTTAAGTACATTCTGCCATTTACACTAACAGTCCTTACGTCCAGAGGAAATATATTTCTTTAAGTACATTCTGCCATTTACACTAACAGTCCTTAAGTCCAGAGGAAATTTCTTTTTTAAGAACATTCTGCCATTTCACTAAGAGTCCTTATAAAAGATTTCTCTAACTCCATATAATCTAACTGTTTAATGGCGAAGGTTTTTTTTTTAAAGAAAAGGAGGATTTATCTGCCACCTCTTTCCCTTCTCGCTGACTAATAGTGCACACAAATTGAGCGTTTACGTTTTGCCGTAATTTTTTAATTTAAAAAAAAAACGTAACACATCCCTTGTTTAAATTAAAGTAGCCTTTTTATTAATATCGTCGATTCATAATTTTAAATAAGTTCTAAATAAAAAAAGGATTTGTCTTTGAAAATTATATTATCGTCTGCGTTCTTGTTTATTTAATTTCTAAATATCCCTTTTTAGGATTATAAGTAAGTTATTTATATTACATTTTATATAATATTACACAAACGCGAAAAAGTAATGAAAAAGTAAACCTATTTGCGTTTTTTTAAATGGTTGCTAACGCTAAACGGTAATTTTA